TCGCCATAAAAAAAGCACTTAAATTATCTGACACTAACATGCAGAGTTATATCTGCAGCATGCATGAGGTAAGGCTCATTAACATTTTAGGCAGGAAGAACAACCGTGGAGCAAGAACAAATTGGCCAGATAATTTTTTTTTTTCTTTTCCCCTTTTCTTTTGAACTCAACAAAGAAGAGAGATAAAGCTGTTGCAGTAAATCTAGGTACATGGTAAAGCAAAGTGTACTGGCCTACTATGAAGTTAACTTGCAATCATCTTAGTGAGACATTAAATATTTTGCCAAATTATTCCATAAAATTTAATGAGTAACTGCGACAGCTCCAGCTTAAATTGACATTTATATAAAAGCTACTTATGGTGAATTGCCCTGCATCGATAATGTTAAAGTAGGCAATCTATTCATGCTATGAATACTTTAAATTGAAAAAAAAAAAAAAAAAAAAAAAAAAAAAAAAAAAAAAAAAAAAAAAAAAAAAAAAAAAAAAGAAAAAAAATCTTCATGTTCTCAACAATAACAAATGTTTATCGAAAAAAAAAAAAAAAAAAAAAAAAAAAAAAAAAAAAAAAAAAAAAAAGAAAATTCTTCATGTTCTCAACAATAACAATGTTTATCACCAAGACAAACTCATAACTTGGATTGATGCTCACAATAGATATACCTCTAAAAATAATGACAAGTAAAGTTATTTTCCTAAATGTCATAGTTCAAGAACTCTTGAAACATGATGAAGAAGACATACCTGCATCCCTCTTTTACCAAGCTGTTTCACTGCAACTTCAAGCCTTCTAGTTGGATCATCTGCACTTCTGATAGACCCTCTATAGACACAACCAAATCCACCCTCTCCAAGCATGACAGAACGGCTGAAGTTCCTGGTAGCTGACTTAAGCTCAGCAACTGTGAACACTCTAAGATTGCTGGGTCTTTGTGACACGCTAGGAAATAAGGGTCTCACAATGGATTCTGTACTGGTGCCTGAGACATTTTGAGAATTCAATTCAGACCCAGATCTCCCAACTTCATGATCAGTAAATGTCGAATTAGTGGATTGAACTGAGGTTGTCTTTACAGTCCTTGATTCATCCTTCTTGTCTGCAATGTAGAATGGGAAACACTTCATAGTGCCCCGACAACTCACATTCACAAATTTCCTCACTTTTAGATCCGGAGACGAAGAGAATCTCAATAAAATGCAGTCTACGAGTTGAGAAAATCAAAGAGTATGAATTAGTGATATGTCTCTGAGAAGAGAATATGAGGTTAGAGCAAAACTTCATACTAGACGTCAAATGATGATTTGAGTCTAAGAAACCAATAGTACAGATCTGTTGTTTGAAATATTAGGAACTCAAAACTTGCTCTTTCTAAATGTTCGTTGAATTGTTCAAAAACTAAAAATCTATCAATGATATATGCAGGAAAGACATAAACAAAAAAATAAAAATTGAAAAATGGGTTCTAAATAGAGCTTCAATCCTTTACGAAAGTTATTTTTCTACCCTTAACCAGATTCAGCAAGCTAATTTGTATGCTCCAAGTTTCCCAATTTTATGCAACTGAACCAAAATAGCAAAAATAACCCAGAGGAAAAAGAAAAGGCATCAATGGTTCTCTGCTCTCTTTAATCATTTCTCTCAAAATATTTATCTTACTAGATAACTCAATATCCAGAAAGCCTCTTTCTGAATCCAGATTCATATAAAATGAAACCAAGAAACAAACTTTATGCTTTCGTTCTTAGTTCTCATGCTCAGCCACAAATCACCATAATCAAAATAACTATGCTAATCAATACCAAAAAGAAATTATAAGAATAACAATATAAGCAAACCAATTAAACAACAAACAAAATAAAGTAAAACTTGTATTCAATATTGGAAAAATTACCTTAAATCTCTCCCAGTCAGATTTTGCAGCTTTTAGATTTGCAGCAGCTTTTCCCAAAAATACCAAAAATGAACAACTCAGAGGAATTTCTAAATGAGACTCAATTGTTGGTCCACAAGCCCCAGAGAGACTTCAAAAAGGCTAAAGAAACAACAGTATATGATTTACAGGAAGTCCTTACACGGCAGCTAGACCTGGAAAAAGCTTACCAACCAAAATAAATGAGACCCATAAAATAAAATAATAATTTCATATCAAAATAAGACAACATTTTAAGAACCAAATTCAGCCATCAAAATTTGAAATAGGGCCTTTGAAAATGAGGCAAAACCAGCAGAAAGAGAAGAAAAGTCCAAGTCTTTATGTCTTTGTTGGGGTGGATAAATGAGTCACCCGAGTCAATATGGTCTTGGATGGAATTCTGGGATTCCTTACAATAATTAATCACATCATGTTTTCTTCTTTAGAATTTGAACCTAACTATAGCAATTAATTAAAAGCTAAAGATTAATTATAATTTGTACTCTATTTGTATAAAAGTTAAATATTAAATACCCTCATGATATCATGATATATATATATATATTTTAATTGTTTTCTAATTTTATTATTTTAATTTAACTATTAATATAATTTAAATTAATATTATTTTTAGTAAATAATTAAGCATTAACTCCTTTCAAATAATAAAACATTTAATTTTTTTAATAATTAATAAAATTAATAATATTATAATATCATTTCAAAATAATTACAATCTCAGCTCATAAATTTTAGATTTTAGTGTCTTTTTTTATACTTCTATTCACCCTGAGATTTTTTTTTTTGAAATTATTCATTTTGAGGTTAATATATCCAAATATTTACTCATATCAACTCTATATTGTTTATTAGTAATATTCAAATACTTAATAATAAATTCATATAATATTATTTGAATTAAAAAAAACTAATTATAGATAATGATTTAAAAATTGAATTTTTTTAATTTCTTAATTGGGTAAATAGCTATTTAATTCATCAGGTTTGGTTGTAATTATAAACTATATATTGGCCTAAATAGTCAAATGTTTTATGTTATTGAATCTAGAAAGTTAGTTTGTTGAACAAAAATACTGAATAATCTCATAGACTGATTAGTGTATCTACTAAATAAAAAGAGTGAAATTGTAATTATGATTAAATTTTATTTGAGGGACTAAATAGTTATTTACCTTTATTACATTAATAATTAATAATTTATTTGGTAAAACAGGATCAGCTAAAACAGAGAGCAAGAGCATGTGAATTGATAAACGACACACCATTAATTTAAAGAATGTTGTATCTCCAGTAAACGACGAGACCAAGTTTCCGCTAAACAGGGACAAAACACCGCAAAAGGAGGGTGAAACGGCAGGTGTAACAAAAAATACACTACGGTAACTCAAATGAGACAAAATGTGCAGCTGTCAAATGACCGGTCGTTGAACCATGGCATGAAAACAAAAATAAGAAAAAGAAAAAACAAAAACGAGGAAAAAACATGATAAGAAATAATATCTACTTGAACGGTTGAGTTATATATTGGCATTTTGAAAAATAAGAAAATATATTAATCATTTTTGTTATATTAAAAAAAAAATTAACTACACCTTACATATCTAATAACGATAATATTATTTAGCTATGAGCTAGCTATTCTTTTTCTATATATAAAGAGTTGAAGGTTGAATATGAAACAGATAAAACAATTGTCAATGAAGTGGTAGTTTGGTTAATATTTTTACTTACGTGGAAAGTTAGAGGCTTCGAATTTGAATTTTTTCGATTACAGATATTTTCATCAGTTTGGTGAATTAAGGAGGGGACTTCCCCCTATTATATAACTCGCAGTGTCATATGGGCTATAAAAAAAATCTCCAACAAATTAAAAACAAAAATAGATAAAAAATTATTTTTTCATACACTTAATTAACAAACAGATAAAAAGAAATACATAAATACTGAAATAAAAAATTTGATTAACTTCATAAAACAACTATGATAATTCAACCAAATAAATGGAGGGTCAAAGTTTGTCACTTTACACTTTTGCGATTGACATTCAAAAGCCCATCATAAACGTTTTTTCTACTCAGTGATTTTCCTTGAAGTACGCCAGCCGTTTGATATATTGCTTGAATGGAAAAGACGATAATTTTTGAACGTAATTTGGTATGCTACACATCAGGTGAGCTCATGCAGTTATCTCACGTGCTATGCACACACGCACACCCGCACACATTTCCCCTTCAACGTAGGGACTTGTTTCTCCCCGCCATCTCTTCTCCCTAAAATGAAGGACTTCCTTTCAATACCCAAGTAATTGACTCCACTACTTTGACCCAAGTTCTTCTGTTTTTCTTCTTTCCAATCCTTTCATGACTCACCCACCATCAGCTTTTCCACTTTCTTTTGACATGTTCAAGGACCCATTACTCAGTTTTTGTCTGTTAGATTCATAATTTGCTTCAAAGCTGGGAATTTGTTGTTGTTGTTGTTATATTTCTTGAAAGATTGAAGCTTTTCTTTGTTGAGGATGCCATGGTTGAGCCCCAATGTTTTTTTGCATATTCGGGCTCACATTGTCATTCAGGGAATTTGTTATGCTTGTTATTCATAGTTAGTTGTTTGAGAGGTTCTACTTTTGGAAATGAGCAGAGTGAAGATCAATATTTTCTGGGTACTTTTGCTTCTTTTTATTGTTTTAAATTTAGTTTCGTGTGTTCGTTGTGTCGAAGAGGATGAATATAGAGAGACAGGTAACCCAGCCTTGGTTCCTGTTCTCACAGAGATGCTTTATAACCGACTTTCGAATCTGAGCACAGTATTTAGTGATGCTATATTAGAGACATCTAACTTTTGCATAAAGAATGTGTGAGTAGTTTTTTTTTTCCAAATTTCTTTACGAACTCCAATTCTTCTTCATCTTTTAATCTATTTTTTGAAGGGTTAATCTTCATGTGTTTCAGGAAAAAGGATTGGGATGGGGCATTCAATTTTAAAGGACAGTTGGATTTCCTAACTAATTGTATAAAGAAGACTAAAGGTATGAGCTTTAGAAAATTTAAAATTGCAATGTTTCCATTTGAAACACATTATCAACAATGTTTTCTATACTTCTGACATGCTCAAGGGATTCATGATTCATGACGCCTTTTATTTGAAGTGGAAAAAAAAAATCAGAGGCACAAGTTAACAAGAAGACCATGGACTGATATATGCTTGCATGCCATAATAGCTACTTTCTTTGTTATGAGTCAACTTTTTGTTATGGTTCACCAATTACCAACTACAAATGATGGTGAAAAGATTTTTGGATCTTTTTTTTTTCATGCCAACTTCCTTCAGCTTAAAAGACGGCAATTACCACTTCATGATGTAGATAAACCAACAGCTGTAGAATATGTAATACATACATTTCATGCTGATTTATTATAACTTACTTTGCTATTCCGAAAATTTTTGTATGCTTGTAAATTTGCCTAATTACTCATTATAGTTGTGATTCAATAAACAGGAGATGTCACACACCGACTTTGTAATGCAGCAGAAATTAATTTCTATTTCAGTAGTCACTTTATAGAGGGAGCAACAAGTGCCAATTTCTTGGAACCTAATAAGAACTGCAATTTGAGCTCTTGGCCTTCTGGATGTGAACCAGGATGGAGTTGTACTACTAGCCAAAATCAGAAAGTTGATCTTGAAGATTTAAAGGACATTCCTACTAGGACTAATGACTGTCAACCTTGTTGTGAGGGGTTCTTCTGCCCTCAGGGTCTCACTTGCATGATTCGTAAGTGCATATTATCATATTGCCTCCGAATATTTCAGATCTGATTATGCTTTCCTCCTTTTTTTTTTTTTTTTTACCATAACATTTTTACACGGTTAATGCTTTCTTTTTTCATAGTCTTTGATTATATATTTCCACTCGTTTGTGATGATGATGGATTGACACGCTAACACCATTATTTGATAGGAAGTGAACATTATATGAGATCCTGCTTCATTTTCCGCATAAGGTTTCTTCACTCATTAGAATTTTGTCACAAAACATGATTAAATATCATTTTATAACTTCACATTGACCTTGTGGTAATTCATAAAAGAAATGAAAAGTTTTATACGGACTAGTGATATCAGAAATGTTTATTGCTTGAAAGTTGATACAATTCAACAAATTGATGAAAGTGATAGAACATCTAATACATTTATTATTTTTCTTTTATGTTCTTGTAAATGAAGCTTGCCCTTTAGGTTCGTATTGTCCAGTTGCAAAACTCAATAAAGCTACTGGAGTTTGTGAGCCGTAAGTTCATATACTTGTTTTTGAAATTTTACTAGTATTCGAAGTCCCTAATAATTTATGCTTTGTATTATAAATTAATATTCATTAGTAGAAAAAAATTGCAGATATAGTTACCAAATACCCCCTGGACAGCCAAATCATACCTGTGGTAGTGCGGATATTTGGTCTCATATCGGTAACAGTGATATATTCTGCCCACCAGGGTCGTACTGCCCGACTACCACACTTAAAGTTTCTTGCAGTACTGGGTATTGCTTTTTATCCCAAAACCCTTCTTTTAATTGCTTGAAGCATGTACTCTTGCTATTATTGTCAAAAAAAATTTGAATTAGTATCAGCAATTTGTTTAATCTGTCTTTATGCACAATTTGATAGTGCATTAATTGGTGCTTAGCAACTTATTTACTAACTTTGTTTTTTCAATGCAAACAGGCATTATTGCATGAGGGGTTCCACTTCTCAAAAATGTAAGTTTTAAGTTGTTTCATTGAATCTCATTCCTCCATACCAGTTAAAGATTCAGAATCTCTCTTAGTTAATTAATTTGGAATTCCTAATCTTTACAGGAAAGGAAAAGGAAAAAAATAAAAAAAAATACCTGGCACTGTTCTATTGTATATACAAGCTAATAGTAATTAGCTGTCAAAGCTTTTAGGAAGGAATAACTTAGAATGTCAAAAATAAAACAATCTTGAGTGAAGTAATTCAAACAAGTGTCGAATCAATTCATTTGATTAGTGTCTACATATCTGTCTTTCTCCGACATATGTTCCATTTTGAATATCTACCAGCTCTGAGATTTGTCTGATAAGCCATAATTTTTCGAGAGAATAAAATTGCATTAAGTGTAGGGATAAAAGTAGAACTTATATTGATGTACCATTTGAAATTTATCTCTAAAAAAATAAAAAAAATGAAGTTGCCATTTTGTTGTTACCAAAACTTTCTTCTTTTTATCTTGACAAGAAGACAATAAACATTAGAATGATGGAGGAGATGTATTGCAACTAAATGGGTACAACATTCTTTATCCGTAAACTGTATAATGTTGCCTTAGATCATTCTCTAGTGCTTATTGCTTTTGTTTTCCATGGAAAAGGAAGTTTATGAAATTTTTATCAATTTCTTTGCAGCATGCTTCAAGTTGACCACCTGTAAACCAAATACTGCAAATCAGAATCTTCATGCTTATGGGGTCATCCTTATTGTAAGTCATTGCTTGATGCTGGAATGAAAAATGGCTTGCAAAATCAAAATTTTCTCAGTTGCAGCATTCAACTTGTATATGCTTTTCCAACAATCTATGATCATTTTTTTTTTGAGATTTCTTGGCTTGAAGAATTCTTTGGCAACTTAAAATTTTCTGAAAAAAAGCAAAGAAAATCCTCTAGACATCAACTTAGCATTTCTTTTCAAAAATTTTCTATAATATCCAAAAACTTCCCAACTATGTTCTTACTGAGTGACTCGGATTGTTCACGTGAGAATACATGGGGTTGCAGGGAATACACCAAGAAAACATGCACTTAATGCCATTATAACTAGTCAAAGTCACATTTGGGGCTCTGCACAATTGCTTAGATAGCTCAGTTTGACCTCAGAGTAGGACAAATCCAATAAGACCACATAAGAGAACTAGGCAAGCCCCACACAATCACACTATTGAAGGGGAGTATCATGGGCTATTCCCTTTGCTAGTTGGAAGCAGTGGCATTAAACATTCTTCAAAATATTTGCTTGTGTAGGTTGCGTTAACTACTCTGCTTCTCATTATCGTTAACTGGTCTGATCAAGCTCTATCTGTACGAGAAAGAAAAGCAGCCAAACACAGAGAACTTGCATTAAGGCAAGCAAAAGAAACTGCACAAGCACGTGAGAGGTGGAAAGCTGCAAAAGATGTTGCCAAGCAACGTGCACTTGGATTGCAAGCACAGCTTTCTCGTACTTTCTCTCGCCAAAGATCTAGAACGCAGCCAGAGCAACTGACAGTTCAAGTTAAACACAGGTCAGAGGATGTTTCAACTAGCACTTCAAGTCCATCTGAACAATCACCTTCAGCAAAAGAACCAAGCAACCTCACAAAAATGATGCGTGCTATTGAGGATGATCCAAATAGCCAAGAAGGCTTTAATTTGGAGACTGGAGATAAAAACGTAAAAAAGAATATGCCAAAGGGTAAAAAATTGCATAGTCACAGCCAAATTTTTAAGTATGCGTATGGTCAGCTTGAGAAGGAAAGAGCCATGCAGGAGCAACAAAAGAACCTGACCTTCTCAGGGGTGATCTCAATGGCTACTGAGGTTGATATCAAGACTAGACCAGTGATAGAGGTTGCTTTTAAAGATTTAACACTCACTTTGAAAGGAAAAAAGAAACATCTTCTTAGGTGTGTCACTGGGAAAATCATGCCAGGCCGAGTTTCTGCTGTCATGGGTCCATCTGGAGCTGGCAAGACAACTTTTCTTTCTGCTTTGGCAGGAAAAGTAACTGGATGCACTGTGACAGGTTTAATTCTTATAAATGGGAAAAATGAGTCTATTCATTCGTATAAAAAAATTATTGGATTTGTTCCACAAGATGATATTGTGCATGGCAACTTAACCGTGGAAGAGAATCTACGATTCAGTGCAAGATGCAGGTAAGCCACTTTAACTTGTTTCATGGCAGTTCCCATATTCATTTTATTCATGGTTCTCATTTCATTCCGTTAGAAATAATCAAACTTCATGATTTCTTTTGCATATTAGTAAATATTATTTCATGATTTCATCACCCATATTTTTGTCTTTTAGATGGAAAGTTCTCTTCAATCTTCATAATTGCTTAAAATCTTCCTCATACATTGTGCCACTTGAAATGTTAACTTCCAATTTGTGATTGAGATGTCAGTTTCTATCTATTTTATTCTGATTGGTCTCTCTTTCTCTTGTTGGGTTTCTTCATATTGGAGATTATCTGCTGATATGCCAAAGGCTGACAAGGTTCTGGTCATTGAAAGAGTTATCGAGTCCTTGGGATTACAGGCAATTAGAGATTCTTTGGTTGGGACAGTGGAAAAAAGAGGAATTTCTGGAGGCCAGAGGAAACGTGTGAATGTTGGGCTTGAAATGGTCATGGAACCTTCATTATTGATTTTGGATGAGCCCACATCAGGTTTGGACAGTGCATCTTCAATGTTACTTCTAAGAGCACTAAGACGTGAAGCTCTTGAAGGGGTAAACATCAGCATGGTAGTTCATCAACCTAGGTATCTTCTCTCTGGTTAACCTTGATCCAAAATGCTGTAATGAATATGCTCTTTCAGTGAAATGTTAAATCATTGAGAAATGTAATTGGTGTGGTGATCAGCGTAGCATGAATAGGTCCACTTAATAAATTTTATTACAAATATTCAATACTTTTCAATGAAATCATTACAAAAATACATAAAATTGGCAGAATTTAATGTTTAATTTCTTCTGATCCAGCTATTCATTGTTCAAGATGTTTGATGATTTCATACTTCTGGCAAAAGGTGGTCTTACCGTGTATCATGGACCGACGAAGAAAGTTGAAGAATACTTTTCTGGCCTTGGGATCACTGTACCAGATCGTGTTACGCCTCCAGACCATTTCATTGACATTCTGGAGGGCATAGTAAAACCAAACTCAAATGTAACTCATGAACAACTTCCTATCAGATGGATGCTACATAATGGGTATGCAATTCCTCCAGATATGCTGAAATATGCTGATTCACTTGACACAACATCAACACATTCAAATACAAGTAATACAACAGATCCTAATGCTGAAGACACTGAACATTCTTTTGCTGGAGATTTGTGGGAGGATGTAAAGTATAATGTTGAGCTACAGAAAGATCGTATACAATACAACTTTTTGAGATCTAAGGATTTATCTTACCGAAGAACTCCTAGTGTAGGCCGCCAGTTTAGATATTTCCTTGGGAGGTACTGCAGCCATTTTTATTATTTTTCTTACAAACAGAAACGTTAAAAAAAAAAAAAAAGTGTATTTCTAAGTTATGATCAATCTGCATCTCCTAGATTTTTCAGAAGAATCTGAACAAGAATATCTGGCTCGGCTAATATTTCTAGAAAATCAAGCACCAGGATATGAAATTACTTGAATACTAGAAATCTGTTAGTAAAATTGGTAATTCCATGGCCTCTCATTTCATGTTTGTAATATGACCATTTTATTATATGACTATTCTTTTCAGGGTTTGCAAGCAACGGCTACGAGAAGCTAGACTACAAGCTGTTGATTACCTGATTCTATTACTAGCTGGAGCCTGCTTAGGAACTCTTACTAAAGTAGATGATGAAACATTTGGGTCCAGTGGCTACACTTTTACTGTCATTGCTGTTTGTAAGTTATGAAAATGAACAATCATGATGTTATTAAACTTGACTTGCTCTTTGCCATTAGAACTTGTCCTTCAAACCACTTTTAATTTCATTTGCATCTCAATCATTTATAAAAATAATTTTTTCTCTTACCAAGCATAATTTATAAGCTGCTAATAAAGCAGCAGCACAAGCTATTAAATGCAATTCATTTTTTATTTAGTCTATTTTGTGTCATGTTGTCTCTCATGTACAATCTTCTTTTCTGACTTGCAGCATTGCTATGCAAGATTGCAGCATTAAGATCTTTTTCCCAGGACAAATTACACTACTGGAGAGAGAGGGCAGGAGGAATCAGCAGTCTAGCTTATTTTTTATCGAAAGATACACTTGACCATTTCAATACAATTGTCAAACCTATGGTTTATTTATCTATGTTCTATTTCTTCAACAACCCTAGATCAACCTTTACAGACAATTACATTGTTTTGGTTTGCCTTGTGTACTGTGTGACTGGCATAGCTTATATCTTTGCCATCTACCTTCCACCTAGCACTGCTCAACTGGTACATCCTTTGAAGATTTTTACTGATCCTTCATGATTCATTGATACAGGGTTTTTGAGTTTTCTAGCTAATATGCATCTTCCCTGTTTTCTACTACACATGCAGTGGTCAGTGCTTATTCCTGTTGTCCTGACACTTATTGCAACTCAGGAACAAACTGGACTGGTGAAGCATTTGGGAACTTTGTGCTACCCGAAGTGGGCCATGGAAGCTTTTATCATTGCAAATGCTGAAAGGTCAGTTGTTGTCTTTTCCTCCTTTTCCTTCTTTTTTGCCTATCAGGATCATTTATGGACACGGTTACTTGCTTGGATATGCACAATGTACGTAAAAGACATATAAGCATGCTTAGGTGAAAAGTTATCACTATTCCCATGCAAAGTTAAATATTGTTTTATGAAATTTTAGCTCAAAAAAATTATTATGGAAATCAGGTTGTTTCACAAATCAATTGAAGACTATTTCATTTCTGAGAAATTTCCTGCAATTGAAAATTCTTTGCTGTCTGCTTTGAGGCATAAAAAGCTTGATGGCAGAAAGAAAACTCCGTTTTCAAGATGCATCTCTCTTGCCAGATTTCTTTCCTTTAATATTTGCATGCAAGTTCAACTAGTCAAAATACAAAATTCTCATCGTGACTGTATAGTTATCTTTGGTGCCTGATTCTTAACAGAAACATGTCAAGATTACAAAGCAGAAACTTTAAATGAAAAATAGAAAATTTAACAGCAATGAAATGCATATCTTTATAGCAGTTTTCAACCACCAGCAAAACCTGTACATGATGTGTATGCAAGAACCAAATGAATAACCCATAAGCTGATTTAGTTTTTTGGTTGTCTATATATAGATACTCTGGCGTCTGGCTGATAACTCGCTGCCATTCATTAATGCAAAACGGCTATGATCTTGGTCACCGGAATCTTTGTTTAGAGCTTCTGATTCTTACTGGCATACTCAGCCGTTTTACAGCTTACTTTATGCTGATAACCTTCCAAAAGAGATGAGTTGGGAAGTTACCCTTCTTGTTGATGTATTTTACTGTACAGAAGATCATTCAAATCCAGTTTTCATACCCTTGTATTATAAAAACCCAGCATGGTATGAATCCATACAAAGCAAATTCCTCAAAATGACAGAAACATAATACAGATGGCAAACAAATTACATTAGTCAGTTTAGAGTAGGGTGTAATTACCCAAGTTAGGTTTTATGATCATTTTCTTTTTAAACTTGTTATGTGACTATTGTTTTGGAGACTAGGAAGCTGACACATTTCATCTCTTATGAGGATGCAAACGAAATAGACTTGTTGTTATATTTCATTGTTGTATTGTCCTGTCTATTTTCATTGATTTCACTCTGGGCTTCATTGCATCCAAGAGTATCATTAAACTCTAATCAGTATGGATGATACTTGGCTATTTTCAATGAGGGTTATAAATTTTGGCAAATAATGTGATTTTCATTGATTTGAATTAATTGGAGTTTGCTCGAGTTGTAAAATTTAAACCTTTCATGGATTTATCAGATTTCTCAATTTTATTATTTTAGAAAGGTGGAAAAGAGAAAAATCTTAGATCATTGGTGGAATTTTCTTAATTTCATTTTTTTTTATTAATGATGGAATTTTAACCATTTAAAAATCTATATTTTAGATTCAATGGAATTATGGTTGTAAACGAGCTGAATTGGGCTTTGGTGAGCTCGAGCTCAATTCGTTTAAAGATAACTAAGCTCAAGTTCAGCATAATAACCATAAACGAGCTGAGCTTATGCTCAAAATCTATTAAATTAAAACAACATCATTTTAAAATAGATTTTAATTGATTTTAGCTTATTGATTTACTTCGTGAGTTTGACTCAGCTCGATAAAATTAGCTCAACTCGATAAAACTAACTTACGAGCTAATGACTCAAGCACTAGCTTGGCTCGTTTATTAAATGAGTTCAGTAATTGGACTTGATAAGTTTCTTCAAATAACTCAGTAAACTTTTACCTAATCAAGCTTTGAGCAGCTTACAAGTGACTTAACTCGTGTGTAGCCGTAAATGTAATAATTAGATTTGGATATTTTAAAAAAGAAAAGATAGGCCAAGCCCAGGGTAATTTTTTTTAAAAAAAAAATTGCATTTGGAAGCTTGTTAGCTCAGCTATTCGCCACAGGCTACGGCGGTCCATTCAAAGCCCCGAAATAAACCGCTGAAATAGAAAAACAAAAGCGAAATGAAATCATCGTTTCGAAACGTCTACTGCTCCCTCTCTCGCTACTTAAACCCTACTCCCAATCTCTATCCCATTTCTCACTCTCTTCCTTTCGTATCGACCTCTCTATCCCTTCGTCTCTTTGTTTCGTATCCCCAAAACGAATCATTTCGCTCTTTCTGTTCCTCCCCTTCCATGGCGGGCACTAACTCTTCTCCTCCATCTCTCGAGAACCAGTTCAAGGAGTTCCGTACGCAACTAGAAGAATCCGGAAACTTACGTGAGAAGATTCGAGCAGTGGTAGTAGAGATCGAGTCCGCCACCAGACTAATGCACGCCAGTCTCCTTCTCGTCCACCAGTCCCGCCCCGTTTCAGGTATTCATATTAATCACATTAGTTTGTCTTTCGTGTTATTGAGTTCTAATTTTGCTCCCTAATTTGCGTCTTTAGAGGTTTTAGAGGAGGCCAAAGCTCAAATTGGAGTTCTAAAAGGACTGTATAATCAGCTTGCAGAAATTATTCATGGTTGTTCCGATCAATACTATAGGTAAGATTGATATTACAATTTTGAATTCAGTAGGAAAGTATATTTGGTTGATGATTTATTTATTTATTTATTTATTGTGGTTTATTAAGGTATCATGGAGATTGGAGAACCGAAACACAGACCGTAGTTTCTATGCTTGCTTTTCTGCACTGGTTAGAGACTGGGAATTTGCTGTTGCATTCTGAAGCTGAGGAAAAACTTGGGTGTATGTTTTTTATTCAGTAGCTTAACTGGATTGAGATTATGATTTTTGTGTAGTTGAATCTTTTTTTTTTTTTTTTCTCTTTTTGCTTGATGCAGTGAATAGTTCAGAGTTTGGTTTGGACATTGAGGACTATCTTATTGGTGAGTACTTGGTAGTCTTATGAATTTTGTTGTCCGGATTATTTTCATGTTTTTTGTATTTTGTTATATTGTGTTTTGTTTCTGGGGATTAGCCATTTATTTAGATACTGTAATTTGGCTTAAGTCGTACATTGCTTGAAAAAATGCAAGTCCTCTGCATTTTAAACGATGTTTTGGTTATACTCATGAACCAAACATCAATATTTCTCCATTCAAGATAACTGGTATTCACCTCTAAACAATCTTTTTAGATATGTATTTGTATAAATGCAACTGTTATTCTTAGCTTGTTGGGTTGATTTTTCATGCTTGTAATGAGTAATTTGAAAAGATTTGGTGTTGAGCTGCATAGGTGTCGTCTTTACTCTCTGGGTGGATGATTCATGCTCGTATGAATCAATGTCTTGCTTTGTTTGTTTCTGGATGGTCATTATTCTTCTTGAAATCGATGAGTTGTATTATTCTTGGCTATAACATGAACAAGTATAACATGATGTTCTCTTACTTGAAATATTAATGATGAAAAGTTTCTATCGTGCAGGTGTTTGCTTCATGTCAAATGAAATGGTAAGAAATTATGCATGATACAAGTATTGTGCTTATTTTGTGTGGAGTAGACTAGACTTTGGTTTAGATAATTTTGGAGGATTTGTTTTGTGGTAGTTGTATTGGTGTAACTGAAACTTTTAGTCCTAGCTATCAAAGAGAGAAGACAGGGAGAAGTAGGAGAAAATTATATGATTTTTTTCAAACAAAGAGCTCATTATGGTAATATATTGTATTTGCAGCCTAGATATGTGGTGAACCGAGTAACTGCTGGAGACTATGATTGCCCAAGAAAGGTGCTGAAGTTCTTAACAGATCTTCATGAAGCCTTCCGCATGCTTAATTTCCGGAATGATTTTCTGCGCAAGAAGTTTGACGGTAGCTATTCATTTTCTTTTTCTTCTTCTTTCCATATTCACGGGTTTGTCCTTAAACAATGTTACATCATATCTGGTATGAATTGGTTTGAATTCCTCGCTTACTTTTCACAGGTATGAAATATGACTTAAGAAGAGTCGAGGAAGTGCATTATGATGTTAAGATTCGCGGTCTGGCAGCTAATGGCAATTCAACTGCAGACCAAGGAGTTGAAGGTCAGTCATAGGCTATAAAGAGACATTCTACCTGTCGACTCTGGTTATCTCAATTACTTCTGTATATTCACTCTTTTAAATGATATGAAGGATTGGTTTTATCAACCATTAACCAAATGATAATCCAGATTTTCATAGTCCTGGGAAAAGATGCTCTGCTATTTCTCCCTTCCCCCTTTGTCCTTACTCAAGTTATGGGATTTTAATTCTCTGTCACTGGCATTACGTCCGGAGTTGAACAACTGATGCTTTTAGTTTTCCTTAACTGAACTTAAGGGTGTTTTTGACTCTGTATCAATCGCTCCCCTGGACAACATGAAGTTTAGGATCATTTGTGAAGGCGAAGTCAATAAATGACAATGTCCAAGTTCTGTTCTTAGTAAGCAAACGCTATCGTCATCATCACTGATGGGTGTTTTTGTCACCAATACCATTACCTCTTTGTGATTGTAACATGGTAGATCATACTGGAGCGAGCTTCACTGCCATCCTTTTTGGTTTTGCTGTGAGATAGTATAATGATTTTATTTTTATGCCTCTATTAGTTCTGTTCTTGTTTTTATCAAGCATGTGATACCACTAGTAGCAGATTTTTATTTTCTTATCCTTATTTCACTGGTAATCACATCATGTCTTATCTTTACAGAGTCGACTAGTAAGCAGAGCTGTGATATCCTGTGCCATACCATTTCTTTGTCGGAAGCCATTTTCACAGAAAAAATTAGCAATTTAAGTGAAAATAAATAAATAAATAAAACTCTATCTGCCCTATAATAAGTGTATTTTCTGAAATTAATTCTCTATTTTCTATTTTAAGCAACAGAAAATATTTTTTTGCACAATTTGTGGTAGGCACAGCCGTGGCAAATGAGGCGAAAAGACTTTAATGCCGTTGAAAATCTTTTTAGCAGTTTTGGTGTTGATGATGTTAGGATAGCCATGTAATTGTAAATGTATATGGTAAATGTACTCAGGTTGTGTTTGGCACAATCTGTGCCATTTAGCAAAGCTTGACCAATTTGTAACGTCACAGCCTGTGCAATTTAGCAAAGCTGACCAATTTGTAACATTTAGCGAAGCTCAACAAGTCGAAAAAATTGATAAATAATTCACTTTGATTTTCTAAGTCATGATAACTTTTCATCTTATTAACCAAAACACTTGAATTATTTGATTGAAAATATTTTTTTTCCGTACGCGGAAAATGGTATTTAAGTAAGGCTTTTCTTAGGGTGATTTTAGATTTTCAATCTCTAATTTATAGGTAAATAAAATAACCTAATTGCTTATAAGATTTCACATAACCCTGAAGCTTCTTTGTAGCCATAAACTTCCGATCAAGATGTGGTAAATTTAACGTGTCTTTGCTATGCCAAATTGGTCATTAGCTGATTGGCTATTTGGTTGGCGATCGTACACTTAGCCAAGCCTCGGTTATAGTAACCAGGAGTTTCTCAACGTGATATGAAATGAAATGCGAGCAATGGCAGGCTAATCTGTGGGCACCTCTTGGGCCCTTTTACCAGTAACAAACATATAATCCAATTGAAGCCAGCGATGTGACACCTTTTCTTTTCTATTTTTGTCGTCACTTATTAAAAAAATTACTATAAGAGCCGTTCGTCCTTGTTGACGCCGTGAAGTCGCCTAATCTGACGTGGACCACCACCAAAACATAAAACTGGCGTTAAATTATTTTATTGTCGTCCACCTGTCCCGTCCTTGCGGATGTGAAAACAAAATTATACGTCAAAAAAAAAAAAACATTATAGAAAACTCATTTGGATTCCGTCGAATAAAACACTACACACTACACAAGCATAACTTTCTTTTCTTTTTCCTTCTCTTTCCTTGTCCTTCTATTCATTTTCCACCATTTTCTGTCGCTTTTTGGCGGTTTTGATCTTTTCATTTTCGAACATTCGCTCGAATTTCTCTCTCGCTCACTCTTTCTCTCTCACTCTTTCTTTCTCACTCTCTGAGGTCAGATCTTCTTCTCCTTTTCCTTTTTTTGTTATAATATTCACTGTGTCTCTGACTCACCTTCTGTCTATATATTTTACTCGATTTTGATTTTATTTTTTTTGTGGATTTTTATTTGTAGTTTAAATCTGTCGATTTCTTGAGCTGGCGATAGCATAGATCGGCTTGTTTGAGCTTGTAGGTGGGTCTTGCCGCCGATGATTGAGGTTTTTTTCTTCGTTAACTTTTTTTATCCTTTTCGCTTTTATTTTTTCAAGTTGCTTTCCTTATCTACCCTGTTTGGTTCCCGAGAAAACGAAAGAAAGGTTCAGAAAATTGATTTTGTTTTTTTTTCTACCACTTTCTAAGTGCATAAGCTCACTATCAAGAGTGTTCTATTTTTTTTAATAAAAAAAAGGAATTATGCCCCTGAGAAACCGAAAAATACTAAATTAATTTTTTTAAAGAATAAAATTAGTTAGTAATTATTAGTGGACCTGCATTTTTAATATCCAAACAGAGCTTCGATTTTTTTCTTTATATCTAAGTTTAGGATTTTGGATAAATTGTGTTTTTTACTGTATTTACGTCATTTTACATTTTTGCTTTTCTTATTTCTCTTCTTGCGTTATATTTTTGGTTTTTGCGTGCTTGATATTGTTCCAGTTAGTTGACTGTAACAGTCTCGCACTCATGTAGAATTCTGAGTTTGCTTCCGCTTGCAGTGTCAGGGTGCGAGTGATTTGATGTGTTAGGAAAATATTAATGAATTAACACAGGTTAATAAGATATTGGGAAGATGATTAAGTGATTGAAATAGTATATAGTACTATGTCCTTTATCACTGTGCATATGACCATTAGTCATTTCCTTGGTAAAGTAAGTGGGCAGTATCCTGCTTGATGCGCTAAAAGTTTTATATTTCGGATGAATTGGATAATACAATCAAAAGAAATAGTACGTTTGACAGTTTGCGTTTGGCATTCAGGGGGAATTATGTCCAGGGCTTTGATTCTTAAAAGGGCCTCAAAACCATAAGAAATGCAAGTGTGTGAAGAAACTCGAGAACTAAATAAAAGTTTGGAAAAACCATGATGCAGAAAACAATTCCTGGTTGGAAGTAGAGACGTGTATATGACTGTGACCCCAGAGGTGCTGGTTAGGACTACTCTATGCTATTACAAATTCTCAATTGAATTGTTAGCTCTATGCAGTTGAAAGAACCTTATTTAGAAGATATTAAATTTTCCTAAATTTAAGACATTTTTCATTGGTATTGTGAGGAAGGTATATTGAAGATGTTTCAACAGCTTTGTAATAATGGTTTGGTGCTTTCATTAGGCTATCAAAATACACTTTGCATGCTGATTGTCTAAATGGCCATTTACTTCAGGAAATTTGGCTGGTTAACCAAAAGAAATTGGTCGCTGTTTTTTTATTTTATTTTATTTGTTTCTTGTAGTAGGCAAGGATGCAAGCAGTGGCATATGTCTGCAGATGCAAGTTCAAGCTTAACAGAAGTAAATGAAATGGATCGAAAAGCACATGTGAATAAGAAGTTTGCCAGTATGAAATGTCAAAGGGTTAGAAAATTTATTGTTCATTGAGGATTCTAGCATAATATTACCAATCTGTAAAATTCTTAGAATTATATCATGTATGTAACATTTTCTCATTTTCTTTTTGCAATACCAAGGGCGACTATGTGGTACATTGTTTTACGTATGAGAAAAACTCATTGATTTGGGAAAAGAGAGAATACAATGGTTGGGGATAAGGCCTAGCTAGATTGTGTTTGATGATGCTTACCTGAGTAAAAGAGCCATATTAGGGTGGTGTCTCTAAGACCTCTTTATAAAGCCTGTTACCAATGCTTCACCATTGGCTTTATAAGTTTTACTGACAAATATGTGTCAACAGATGAGCATGGACATGAGCTTTAATTGGTAGCAAAACAGAGGATCTTTTTGTACGTGTATGTGTTTTGGTCTGGTGTGCGGATGGTGGTTAACTTTCTAGTTTAAAGTGATCTACTGTTTGAGAAATATCTATTGCAATGCTTTTTGGTTCCAACTGTTGTTGAGTGGCCTTTAATTCATTTTGATGCTTTAGGTATCCAAACATTTATTGTAAGCTATATTGTAGATAATTTGTTTAAAGTGGCATAGGCAATATTCTATATGCATTTTCCTATAGGTTTATGATGACACTTGCGCATGTCTATTCAATGGGTCCAGGCATGTTGCCTAAGCTTTTATTTGAGAGTTCCATTCTGTCTGTGAAATAACACGCGTTACATGTTCCCATCTTGGCCTCTTGCTATGTGACTTACGCGGCTGAATTCATTATTATGCTAATGTTGCTTTGAAAATGGAAATATTCTTGGATAATAACTGCTGATTTGGAATTTTTCTTCCTTTGGACAACATTCTTATATAACTGGTATTCTTGATTTTTTCTGTTTTTGTAGGTAAAAGTAGATGAAACTTCTGTTCCTGCAGTAGAAGATGAAACTATAGAAGTTCAGCATTTGCTTGCAGAGCCAAAGCCTGATCATGCTTCAGTAGATGGTGTACTGTGTTTTGGTAAAGAGAATTCCTGGAAACACTTGGAGATTGATGATTTTAACTATGGATTTGAGTATGGCCTAAAAGGTAATTTAAATTTTCTAATAGCTTGCTTCTCTTCTTTTTACTGGTGCTTTATTGTTTTCTAAGTATGTATTTTCAGATTGTCTTGTGTAGCGTAAGAATAACATAACACTCAGCAGTTATTCAACCCTAAAATAATTATGTGACGTGCACATGATTAAAAATAAACATATATTGTGCTTGTGGACAAGCTTCCCTTTTTCCTCTGAACAATCCACTTAAGTTTGGAAAACGCATTTTATCATGAAGCTTCAGGCTTCAGTCAAGGATGTTCCAGCATTTAAAGAATTAATTTCTGGACTAAATGGATTCTTTGAAACAGGGTTGAACAAGAAATGTGGCACATGTTGGGAGCAAGAAATTCTTTTAGATCTTTATATATTTTTCATTCAATTATTATTTTTATTAGTTATTTTGTTAACCTTTTTTTTTTTGCTGATGGTAAGGTGGGCTGGATTGTAATAATACCCAAGGGCATGATGATTTAGAACTCGGAGTATGTATCTCTTCTTGTCAATCTGTTATATCAAAGTTCTTATTTTGATCTTTTCCCTTGAGGAAAAAAATGAGTATATTTCTTGAAATAAGCATTAACAGCCAATGTCTCTGCTTAATTACCTGTGTCAACTTGTTTGTTCATCCCACTTGGTTTTATGTTGCTTCACTTCTTGGTTAACTTTATTTGCATCATAGCCATTGTTGTCATCTGATGAAATGTTGCTTTAATAGGTTCTGGATGGACTGCTAGATGAAGTTGATGAAGTGGATGATATTCATGCAGCAAATGACATCTCTGGGGCATGTGAAGATTTTCTTTTGGGTAACTGTGTGGTTGTATATTTGTATTATTTGTTACAATTTCAGTTACATTAAATTCAATGATCTTATGCTTTTTCCTTGTATATATTTTGAGTGCAGACATTGAATTGGCTGAGAAGGTTTCTTTTCTGGATTGTGCTCCATTTGGAAGACTGCAGTTGGGAAACTCAAGTTCAGAAAGTCAATCTCCAGGATTTAGTGGAAGTAGCAATGTTGCTAATGGTTTATCAGAATCATCAACAGCAACTGTTCCAGAGGCTGAATGCAAGAGTGGCTCACTTAAGAAGAGAACAGTCAAATGTGAGTTAAATGACTCATCTGGGAACAAATGGGACTATCAGGCTGGGGTTGATGTGTTTACCACTTCACATGATTTAGAAGAGCTTGATGAGGTGGACTACGCAAAGCCTTTAGAAAGTGGTCTATCATCGGATGAGAATGAAAAGAAAGTTGTCCAAGCAAGCAAAACGGGCACTCTTCTCAGACAGAAGAGAACGCGAAAGCCTACCAAGAGGTATATTGAAGAATTTTCAGTTCCGAAGTCAAAACATGCAGTGGAAGGACAAAATATTTTGGCTACTGCTTCAAAGGGTGAACACCTGACTATCATGTCCCATAACGAACTTCAGGGTGCAACATATGTACCCAAGGAGGAGACTTTAAGTGAGACAATTACCCAAGAAACACTTGACGATGACGAAAAACTTTCTGATCTGAAGTCAAAGTGTGTAACTGGAAGACGAAAGGTTTCTTCTCATGCTTCCAAGGATACACGCTTGAAGTTTGGATCTCGAAATGAACTACATCATGTAAGAGGGTTGAAATCTGCTCCTGGAGAGGAGTCTTTCCCTGGAACTGGAACTCGAACATTGTTTGAATCTCGGCCACGGAGGGGACGTCCGAAGAAGCTTCCATCTGCTTCTGTAAGGAAACTGTTCTTGTCCACTTTAGTTCTGTCTATTGTTACTTTGAAAATGAAGATTGAAACTATCTTGCATCTTGCATGGTTATAAATGCATGTGTACTCATGTTTTCATTGGTGGATTTTGTTGTTCTTTCCTCTATCTTGCATAATGGCAGTTTTTGTATTGCTGCATTTGTATAGGATACAGTAGCTCTTATGCTGATGCATGCTTATGTTTTCATTTCTTGGGGTCATTCCCTCTATGGAATTTCCTTTTCATTTCCCTGCCTACGCTGAAATACATAATTTAAATTCTGTCTATTTCTCATGGAATTATATATCAGTTCGCATTAAGGCTAGACTGGAAGAAAGAATCATGAATTGAGTTTGAAAGGTGCATTTTGCTCTTTCCTTGTTAGTATAAAGTAGCTTTGTACTTTAAGCCCTGTGATCATTTTTTAAATACACCAATCAATTTTCAAGTTATCTTTCCCCTTTTCCCGCGTAGGTTCTTGAATCTGATGAGGAATGTACTGCATCTGAGTCTGAAGATGACTGCACAAAGAGAAGAAGATCCAAGAAGAGTAATGATCGAAGGAAGCATCAAAGAATGTGGACTCTTTCTGAGGTGACAAAGTTGATTGATGGTATTGCGCAGTATGGAACTGGAAGATGGACAGATATAAAAAAGCTTTTGTTTTCGTCATCAGCATACCGCACACCTATAGATCTGAGGGTAACATCCCTTTGCTCTCCATTAAAGAGTTTCACTAATTTGTCTTATTGAAATCTGTGTTTAAATGATGAATTCTGCAGGATAAATGGCGGAATCTTCTAAGAGCTAGCTCTGCGCAGAAACAGAAACTGAAACAGAACAAGAAAGAGGTTAGCATTCTGATTCCCTTCTTACTGTGAACTTTACTACTGATGGGTGCAGTGTCCATTCTAAATTAATTTGATTGAACACTGAGGTCAAACTGACTGACGTCTTGCTAAATCAAAACTATCCGAGGGCCTTTATATGGATTCAATATAGGACTAAAAGATAAATGTATGTCCTGTGCACTGTGCCCCGCACGCATTTGCTTGGGTGTTATGATGTTGTCTCCAAACAAACTGTCCTTAGTTAAGTTTTTTGGGTATCTTCAAGTCCTTCTCTCTTTTATTATGTGCAGCTGTACCGACCCGTGTATAAAATCCAGTCGCCAGCTGGCTTTGAAAAACCACACATGGCTATACTGGTGTGGATCTATTCTATGTTTTAGTTGGACATATTAACAAATGAGAAAATGTGTTTTGAGCTTTCTTTCTATTCTCCTCTTGGCATGACCATATCTTTTTAGTTTATGTATTCAATTTTACTACTGGTGTATACTAGGTTCACTGCTTAACTAAATAGTGATTCACTTTTCATTTATTTAAAATCTGCCGATGAGTTATAACAATAATTATAATATATATACACACATAGACACACATTGGAAAGAATACTAAATATATTGTATGGTTAATGCATATGTAGAAAAGTAGTAGTAATAATAATAAAGAGACAAGCTTAATGTGATAAATGCAGGTTGAACAAAAGCTGAATCATGCCATCCGCCCCTTGCCAAAGCCAGTGATACGCAGAATTCGTGAACTAGCCTCTCTTCATCCATACCCTAGGTTTACTCCTGGTGGAAGATATATACGTAGGAAGAAGAATTGACTTGAAAACACAATTGTCAATCAGCATTAAATCAGAGTATAGCAAATTTAGTTGTAAAAAAAAAAAAAAAAAAAAAAAAAAAAATTTAGTTTGTAAAAAAAAAAAAAAAAAAAAAAAAAAAAAAAAGGAAGCTTATATTTTCATTTTGTCCTTTTGTTATGCTCTACACATTCATGTTCTCAAAATCTTTAAAAAAAAAAAAAAAAAAAAAAAAGAAAGCTATATTTTCATTTGTCCTTTTGTTTATGCTCATACACATCATGTTCTCAAATCTTCAAAGATACTCTGTTATAGAATGTGGTGAATGTTGCAGAGACTGGCCCCCAAATTCTCAATTTTAGTATCTGGGGTTGCGGCTAACTGGTGTTCTGGCAACTGAAGCTTTCTCTTACAAACTCATTGTAATTTGCCCTTCTAGATTAAGAGATATCAGTTAGGCTCTTTCTCGTTATAATATGGGATGTGTTATTGGTGATCTGTAACTGGAAGCTCTAGATGTTTACTGAAATTGATAAGTTGCTGATAAATGCTATCGACTAATTCAATTACCAACAAAAGCAATTGCGTTTTAGCTTTTGTTCAATTGAGTCGTAATGAAGATTCAGACGACATGAAGATGATATTTCTCTTTGGAAATTTGATTCAGTGTGTTCTAAACAATTTTAGGTTGCATCTGGAATCCATCTTCTGAAGTTTGTGCCCAATTTTCTTCACACTCGTATGCACTTCATCTTTTTCTTCCTGCCAACATCACAATCATTTCTATAATTTTGATAGCTCAATTACGATTTTCTTGTAACTATAATGAAAAATTGAAACTGTTACATAAAAAATGACCGTGTTAATCCTCTCTTAGGAGTTATTATTCAAGAATAGCTTATAATTTAACATTATATGGTAATTATGTCTCAAAACATATAAAGAGCTGTCCAATATGATTCTTTATTTCTTTCTGTAGGATGAAAAATGTTATAATATCTATACATCATGAAAAGAGAACAACTCAATCCCGAATTTCAAGTTTGTTGAACAACCTTAAAATAGCTCTGTTTCTTCTACAGCAATGAATTTACCATAAAAAGCCTTTTTTTTCTTTTTTTTTTTAAACTGACAAGGCAGACCTTCAACAAGCAATCTCTACAATTACCTTAAGACTCTCTGGCAAAACTCTATAAAACAAGAAATCCCTCGACTTAGGAACATGGCATGCAAATCCTAAATGAAAGATAATCAAAGACCTCATAGATCAATATAAATCTAATATATAAAGTTAAAATTTATAAGATATCACATAATATACGTATCAAGGATAATATGGAGCTATTAATTACGGTTGCCCACCTTCATCACCACCATTGTCGCCGCCATTTTTATCCCCTTGAGAGCTGCTACCCCAGCCGTTATAGTATTCCCTTGGTATGCTATGGTGATTGTCAACGCTTCTTTCTTTGCAATCAACTCTGCTCTTTTTGCCTTCAGCTTGGTTTTGATTTCTCTCCCCTTGCCCATGTATCGCCAAGCAAGAACTCACCATCACCACCATAATAAAAAACAAAGCTATAAGCTTCATTTAGGCACTTCACTTCCTACCCTTTTGTGCCCTTAAATGGATCAAACCCTCTAAATTATAACCAATTAACATATACAAATTGCATAATTTTTTAACAAGATTAGGGTTAACATGGAGGAAAGATAGCAAGGTTAACAATTTATATGGAGAACAAGTTAATTGCTTCATTGAGGTGTATCAATGGAAGCATAAAAGAAGGCCCCCACCAAAATTGGACAAGATTTAGTGGGGTTTTTATGCTTTGATACATATTGTTTATGACAAATAGGAAGTCTAATGATGGTTGAGATACATTCAAAAATAGAAATTGATGGTTGATATTGATTTTTTGTCCATATAATAGCAATTAGCAGCCTTAATAGGAAAGGTCCTATAGTTCAAGTGGAACAAAAAATCTTTGCATAGTCTAAAGCATAATGGATTTCCTGTTTGAATTTCTTTCTCAATTTACTACCCACATTAAAATCTTATCACCAAAATATTCCTAACATGATTTCATCAAAAAAAAAATTTATGGTAATCAATAAGACTTATAATAAAAAGAATATTTAAAAAAACTATGTGAGATAACGCATTTTTGTTTAGTAGTTTCATCCAATGTGAATGGTGACATGTAATTAATGAGAAGTTGAAAAATGTAAACTTTTTTGGGAGCTAGTGAATTCCTTTCCTGCCATGTGTCTCTTTATTTAAATATCATAACCTAACACCACTCCTCTCCACTCATTTTCAACTCTAAAATACAATGCCCACCATTTCCAAGAACAGTGTAAGACTACTTGGCTCCACTTTACACCTCTCAACATTAGATTCCTGCCACAAATCCAATTGGGTTTGTTTGAGAAAATTAATAGCTTTTAGTTGTCTGAGTCGCATATCGTCGGTAGCTATTTTTATAATTTTTCATAAAATATTAAAAGTTAAACATTAGAAGGATTAAGTTTTTAAAAAACCGTATCTTAACCTTTAAAATTTAGCTCAAATATATTACTGAATACATATTTAGTATTTTAACTTATTAAAACATTAAAAGCTATTCAAAAAGTTGTTACCGAATATAACCTATCCCTCTTGATTTCTTTGACTATGATTAATGGACCAAGTTTGATTTTTTGATAACCCTATAATTGACTATTAATGAGATTTATTAATCTTATTCGTAAATAAATAGATTATTTTGATTGCTTTCAATAAATTAAGATTTTCACTGATTCAACCGGTGTACTTTTTAAATTACGATTAATGTTTTATTCTAAATTATATAGGGTTCACACTGCGGACTACATAATAAATATAGCATTCCTTTTAATTCACCAAATTGGTAAAAATTTTTACAATAAAAAAAATTCGAATTCGAGAACTCTCACTTCTCAGTGAAAGACCAACCAAACCACACACCTGATTAGTGATTACTCCTCAGTAACTAGTAAGTAAAAAATATTGATAATTGATGTATTTGATTTTAATCAAATATTGTAAATTCAATTACCTTGCTTTAAGGTAACTAGGATGAGTTGATAGGTAGGCCTGGCCCACTCTATAGGTAGTCCAGTATGGTCACATCGTATGAGTAATTGTGTCTTTTTGGGCTAGGGGTCCATTACTCTCATCTCATGCTTCTATTGTTGCTACACCAATTAAAGGATTATGCAATGAAAATTGTGCAAATGAAATCTGCTCAAGGCCCTTTTAGATTTCCAATTCAATACTTGGACATTTGTATTTTCTAGTTCAATTCACATAGCCAATACCTCAATAATGTAAGGGGAAAAAACATTTTTTTTAAAAAACAATTAATCACATGGTAATTTATTAAACTTAAATTTATAACTTCAAGATTGTCTGAATCGATGGAATTTGAGTTATAGAGTTTAAATATTTTATCGATTTCTTTATTTGGATGTTAAAAAATAAACGACAACCTATAAAATTAATAAATCTTATTATTAAAATACATATATTTTGAATCCTTGATTTTTAATATTGTTTCTATGTTGAATGTGAGATTATTGAGATGGTGTCCATTTTCAAATTATATTTAAATAACTAAAATTATCAACCACGTGTTAAATTTTCAAAGGTACATTATTTATTACTTGAGGCCAACTTCAACTATGTGTAACTAGCTTTTCTTGTCTTATTATTATTTTATTTGTTTGTTTGTTTCTTGCATTGAATTAAGTCTTATGTGCCCACATACTTGTTTCTATCTAGTAAAAAACAAAAGGATAGTTGGTCCACATCAAGATCCATCAAAATTAATATATTTAAAAAATAATTAATTAAAAGTTAATTAATTTCTCTATTTACATCAAGATTAGATTGATTTTACTATAATCAAAAAAAAAAAAAAATAATAAAGATTGGAAACTCAATTTCAATTTGGATTTGGTAATTAAAAAAAAATGAATTTCGATTTGAAATCAATAATTATTGGAAAGATTTCATCTGAATATTATTTTCAGACATGTTACGGAAAAAAAAAACATAAAAAAAAACCAAAAAAAAAAAAAAATTCAAAGCATGAATTGACAATTAAAATTAAAAAGGAAAAAGAAAAATCAGAGGCATTGCTTCCTAAGAGGAAGCATGGGGGAGGAGTTACAAGAGGATATGGCCATATGTGCGTGGATTGGTTTGGTTTGTAAGTCAATAATATTAAAATTTTTGCAGAGTTGCCAGCTAATGACAACTGAGAATGCCACGTTCGAGGCTTGTACTTACTAAATACAAGTGAGCAGCGCACGGTGGCTTTGTGAGCTTAGCTACGGTTGCACCACCACCAACTCACTCACTGGACACTGGCCCAGCTTCATGTGCTCTACATCCCTTTGCTTTTCTTGCTACTTGGTAATTGCTAATTCATATCCCCACCACCCTTACCTTACCTAACCTTACCCTACAATCTCTTCCTTCTTTTCTAGTAAAACATCTATATATTTGAAATTTTACATGGTTCTTGTTGTCCTTGTAGTAAATCCTCTTTGAAAAGGGTTTTACTTTTCTTTTTCTCTATCAATAATTTTACATGCCATAAACATTTTATCACAGTGAAATTGAGTATAACTTCTCTCTCTCTCTCTCTCTCTCTCTCTCTCTAACTTGTTGCTGAACAATCATTTGTTCTCTAAAATGCTTTTTCTTTCTTTTTCAATGACTATTTCCAATGTAAGACAATTTAGAGTATTAGTACTTTAAAGACCTAATTTAATAATTATAACTTTCTGTAACCCACTGATTGCAACCTAGGAATGTTTTTTTTTTTTTTTTTCTTATTATTTTTCTTTTTACAAGGTATGGAAGAAAGACCTATCTTTATTTTTTTGAAACCAAATGAGAAAAAGGACTAGTCAGGACACAAATTAAGTTCTATTTTATCTATATTGTCTGGGAAACTGTAGGCAGTTATATTGATATGATGTGTACAACTGAGAGTCCTTTTCTCCCTAAGTAGTGTACAACAAATACATTGTCTTAAGGGGATGAACCAATTTGGCAGCTGGCTCTTCTTCATCATCTGTAAATAACTTCAATTGCAGAAAAAACACAGTCAAGAAAAATTGGAAATGTGTATGCCCTTTTTCTTGGGTATTACATGTTTTTCACTTTCTTTTCCACACTAAAGGACAGAAAGAACAGGTGAGAGTTCATTGTTAGTAGAAAGTGGGTTGTGAAAATGACATTCCACTTCTTTTTTTGAAAATTTTTGAAGTTAATGCTTTCAAATACTTGTGTATAGGTAAATATTAACAAGGTTCTTGAAAATTATTAGCAGGAAATACAGTTGAACTTGAACCTGCCATAACTATAAAAGAGCTTAGACTTAAAGATTCGGTTGGTGAGGAGATGGAGTCAGAATATAAACATTGAATGTTGAGACTATAATGGTGTTTTTTGGAATGATTCTTTTATAAGATTCAGAATGTGGATTTCCATACTTTTCTTAGTCCCTGGCTCTTCAACCAAAGCCATTTCTTTGGTTTCTTTCTTTCTTTTCTTTCTTTTCCCATTATAAGGCAAAGCCTTAGCCCCATTTCCTGCATGCAGGGTCAGATTGCAGAGATACCAAAAACACATCCCATATCCGTATACATAGACCAAATATTACACTCTCTAAACTGTACTGTTGTACGGAAAGTACAAAAGCTGCTGAAATCAAGAAAAATGAAGATTAATGAGGATAATATTAATTATTGTTATTGTAAAAATTATTAATTTAGGTTAATTGTCCAATTTAGTGGAAGAAAATGTGTCTGCTAGTGGTGGCTGATTTAGATGTCAATGAAACTCAAATTAAATAATGGAAATTAAAACCCATTTTGCATCACTTAATTAAGATTATCACTTGAAGATTGTTGGTTTAGAAGAGCAGAAAATTAAGGAAGAGAAGGAAATTCTGCAGAAAAAGAAAAAGCTGCAGATTTTGTGACTGTGAAGAAACAATTAATTTCTTATTAATTCCATTACAGCATAATGTAAACATTTATAGTAGAGCTAGTCTAAAGTTTGTTCACCAACCTTCCATAAGTCCAAACCTGCTCTTCACTAGTGTGGTGCAAGAAGGCTCCTTGTTCACAACATCCCTACCTTAAGAAGCATAGGTAGTTCACCTACTCTGATTTCAACCAAAAACTACAACAAAATCTAATACTGACTTTAACAACGATAACCGTCCAAAAGATTCAGTCACGCACACGAATTGCATCAATAGCCTGTAGCTGTAACTTTAAACTTCCTCCTTGATGCAGAGTTGAAGACAACAACACCAAGTCTATTCTAAGAAATTCAAATCTTGGTTTTTGCAACTGCCTTGGTGAAAATAATCTGCTGTTTTGCGTCTTTCAGAATTGCAATGATATCTGAATTTTCTTTTCCTTTTTCAGCTTTCACCGAATTGCATGAGACTTGATTTTTTGATATAGCTTGGTTCTTTTCCATGATAAGATTGGGAGAAAAAATTTTTTAACCATAAGGCACAGCTGATTTTCTTGTCACAAAGTATTTTAGTTTGGATTTTCTTGCTGAAAATTCAGATCAACTAATACCTTTTCTCAACCATATAGCTTGGTTTACAGCAGCAGGTATGCATTGCAACATACTCTGCTTTTGCAGTTGATTGCAGCAACATGCAAGCTTGACGTTCTTGTTCCCCAGCAAATGACAGCAGACCAACGTGAAAAACAAAAAACACGCTTTAGTGCTCTTCATATCGTCCCAATGAACCAAGCCCAATCACTGTCTGAGACTGGCTCGT